TTATATATTGATGTATTATGAGAGTCAATTAAAATTTTTATTGAAAATAAGCTTGTTTCGCATATAATTAAGAGAACTATAAATTGTTTTATTTTTTAAGTAAAAATACTTTAGCATTTATTCATTAGCACCATCGATTGTTATTATTGTTGTTGTTGTTATTATTATTATTATTATTATTATTATTATTATTATTATTATTAATATTATTATTATTATTATCGTCGTCGTCGTCGTCGTCGTCGTCGTCGTCGTCGTCGTCGTCGTCGTCGTCGTCGTCGTCGTCGTCGTCGTCGTCGTCGTCGTCGTCGTCGTCGTCGTCGTCGTCGTCGTCGTCGTCGTCGTCGTCGTCATCATCATCATCATCATTAGTATTATTACATAACAGACGTTTGAACAAATAACATATTTAAGATGCAAATAAGCATTCATATAAAGGTTTTTAATTTTCTAATGTATTACTAGAAAAATAATCTAAATGATAGTTAATCGATTGTAATTATATTGATAATATGAAAGAGCATATTAACTTTAGAGTATTAATTAGCCGATCGATTGTTTCTTAGGACTTCATTTGGCATTACAAGCCAGTTGGTATTGTTATAAAATTTTCAATATTTTATATAATTTTATAAAGGTTAACTCTTAGTTGCGCTTATTTGATGAGTAGTTCTAACGAAAGGATTATCTATAAATTATTTTGTAGACAATTAAATTAATGCATATCTATTACAATATAATTTTATATACAATATAATTGAATATTTCAATGTACTTATGACAATGAGCTATTTATGACTTAAATATCGATGAATAAATATGAGAAAAATTTTGTAAATGAAATAAACATACGTGATAAGATACAAAGATTATTTTATAATAGTCAGATTATTTTTATAACATGTGTTTTTTGCAATTGCTTTTTTTTAAACGTTGTCAGTAATTATTTGGTTGCGTATACTTCTTAATAATTATGGAAAAGAGAAAATATATTAATCAAGTTCTTTAAAAACATCAATCTTTATCAATCAATCATTAGTTATTTTCATTATTAATTTACTGTCGTTTATTCATCAAGTCTCAAAGTTGCAATAATTACAATGTGCTTAGTCTAAATACAATTACACTATAACTAAATGTAACAACAGTGCTCAACTTCAGATTTTAATTTAAAAAAAAAAGGCAATAATATTAATCAAATAATACATGATGTCAAGACACTAAAGAAGTCTCGTATTACTTTTTTTTTTTTTTTTTTTTTAATTTCACTGAATGTCAAGAAGAAATGCTTAATTTTCATAATTATTTTCAACAACATACCGAAGACTTAATTAAAGGAACGAATCATTGATCATGTAAAGCAGTTTTAATGAAAAAATATCCTTAAGTTTAATCAATACAATCTCATGTAAGTAGGTAACTATGTAAAACATCTGTTTTTATCTATTGTAATTGCATTTAAAATATAAATAAATCAACTGTAGATAAAACAATAAATATCGATCTTCAAGAGTAAATTGCATAGATTACTCAAATTAATATTTCGTTTCGTTTGCGTTGATAATTACTTTTTAAAAGTATTATGAAATATTTCATTGTTTATTGTTTTGTAACATAAACAACGATACACAAGAATTTTGTAGTATCATGAAATTAAGAGTTACATCGTTATTAACTTTGAGAGGAGAGTAAGCGTAAGCAAGAATTTTCATTTGCTTGCTCCTTTATTCATAAAGATGTTCTGATTTGGGCACTTACACATCAATTTATTGCGTTTATAATCAACTAACTAATTTTCTATGCGACATCGTTATACTTATTAGCGATGTAGGCAGTTAAATTATCAAAACTTTTATAATATTATCTCTAAAAGAAGAATTTTTATTTTATATGAGTAATAAAATAAAATGTCTACGATATGCGTGTATTCTGCCTTGAAATTTTTGAATTTAACACGAACTATTAATTTAATAATGTGAATGAAATCAATGAAATATCTTCTTTTTAATAATTTTCATTTAATGTAAAATTTTACTTTGAAATTTCGAAAATAAACATAATATTATTAAAATAGAATATCAAGATTTCCTTCAATATATATTATTATTATTATATATATATATATATATATGTATATATATATTTTTTTTTTTAATTCAAATACGCATAATTAACAATTAGTGATTTGTAATTGAATATTTCACATTAAATATACATAGTTAATAATCAATAATTTCTCTCAACTGACAATAGTTATAGTTATAAGCAAGATTATGAACAAGGCATTATCACGTATCTCGACGTAGTTTCTATGTTCCTTTTCTGTCGTTTTCGTCAGAAACAAATAAGGACATAATACAAAAAAAAAAACAAAAACAAAAGAAAAAAGAAAAAAGTACGCGTTTATCGAAGCGAAAAAGCAACAAGAAACAGATGATAAAGTTAAGAATTTGTACATTATATTGTTGTTTGTTAGAGTTATGTACACATAAAATATAAGAAATTGAAATGGACACATTCACATTTTAATCACTTTGAAAACACTTTATAAAAGGTTTTTATTCGATTTAATCATAAATAAATAAATAACGCGTGCGTGCGTGCGTGTGTGTGTGTGTGTGTGCGCGCGCAAATGGACAATGAGAATAAGAAGGAAAATTAGTTTTAGATGGAGAAGAAAATTTATAGAAACACTTGAGATTTTCTTAGAAGCTTTTAGAAATTGAGAATAAATCATTTAAAAGTTCAATTTGTGAGCTAGCGATACCTCAATTTTCAAAATCTTCTTTTCCAGCTTTGTGTTTCAATAATGATTTCTGCATTAAAAGAAAACTAGTTTTTTCTCTTTAATGAATTTAATAATTATTAGTATAAATGTATGTATAATTAATTATATAGTGGAAAAAAAAACAAACAAAGATCAATATAATGATGCGGTATATTTTTTAGAGCCTAATTGTCTCGGAAAACTAGTCGCCGAGTGTATTAGCAAATAATTTTCAATTAATGTAAAACATTCCTTATTAATAGGTGATAATAGCAACACAAAAAAGTACAGAAAGAATAAACTAATAGAATAAAAGAGAAAGAGTTACAGGCATTTATTGTAAAACTATATTAATATTAAAGACGTATGATGTTTTAAACTGGTGACATAAGCGATTGATGAGAAAAAAATATTATAATTATTGTATAAGTAAACAAACGAAAATGAGAAGCAGAGATAGTACATTGTACTTGCGTAAGAAAAATGAAGAGGAAATGGCGATGAACATTACATGATACTTATGTATACATATATTATCAAATAAATATATATATATATGTTGTTGATTCCATTGAAAGTATGATAATTCATATACGATGTACCTAATGTCGATATAAATTATATTAGCACGTGCGGTAACACGGTTAAAATTAAAAAAAGAAAAATAATAAAAAATGAACAAGATGAAATCATAAGAAGGATATAAAAAAAAGTCATTAAGAAAATAAGTAAAGTAATTACAAGTAATACTGTAACGATACTGTACAATAACGAATCGTGAACTTTGTGAAAAATAAAATCCAATGAAATATATATTTATGAATTGTTTAATTATTAAGTGTAAATTGAAAAAGACTGAAACTATAAATAAAAAAAATTTGAAAAAATAAAACTTAAACAAGTAACATAATTTACAATTACACCACGACGCCGGGATTTTTTAGATTATGTTTAGTTTTCTGTCTATTTAAATTATTTTTATTATATGCATTAATTATTATTGAATTTACGATTTTAACTTGTTTACCAATACTTTGAAGAGTTATATATATATTTGAAAAGTAAGTTGATTTACATTTATCAGAGATTTCCTTTTAATGGTAATTCAATTAATATGAAAATAAATCAGATAAATAATAATGATAATGGAAATGTAAGCTCGTTATATAGTATTATATTTATGATGACTCTTCTTTTTAATTTGAAGCGAAGGAATATTTTCTTAATGAGCCTTAACTCAACCAGTTTCAGAAATAAGTTTTTGGCTAATTTTTAAGTAATTTTTAAACATTGAAGCTTAAAAACAACGCAAATCAAGAATCCTTAATACAGGTATAATTTTTTAATTTATTTTTAATAAGAATAATTATCGTAATTTGTAGGACAAAGTAACTTATCAAAATAAAGCGTTTTAATTTATTTCTTAATTCTCGTGTCACAGAAGTAGACGTCGTTACCCGTCGAGTGTATAAGCTGGTAAGGCAAATATCTTTTATATCAACTATTGAGTATATAAAAAAAATAATTGAATATTAAATAATATCCAGTAATTTTAAAGTAGTTAATTTCCTAATTAATTGCTTCTTGAAATAATTTACTTTTTGCGTTATTTTCAAAATTTAATTGAAATCAATTAATTTAGCATTGTTAATGTTCGGTAATAAGAAAAACTGTTTTTTTAAAAAAAAAAAAAAAAAAAAAAAAAAAAAAGGAAATGTATATAATGTTTAAATATAACGATTCTACAGACTAATAAAGTCCACCGTTGTTTTCGCATTAAAGTAATTTTTTGATTATTTTCATTGATTATTTGCTAATTAATAATTATAAATTGCTATGTTCTTGAAATTTCTTTCTAAAATTTATATCCATTATTGAATTAAGGAATAGAAAATTCAATGCTAACATTAATAATTATGCAATTCGATATAAAGATATAAACTCAACTCTACAATGCATATGTTTATTATTATTTTTTTATTTTTTTTCGATTTTGGAACATAATGGCTTTACGAATCCCATTCGACTTTCGTTTTATTGGTTAGGATTTGACCTTTGTGATTGGCTCGTATGTTCCCTTCTATAGGAATTACATTATCTGCTTTATAATGTTTTGATAGGTTATCTGGAATGTGTTTAAATTTTCGAATTATACATTTGTAAATAGATTAAATTAAAACATTATTAAAAATACAATTGTATATTTCACAATAAATTATGTGATTATATATATTTTTTTAATAAATTAAATAAAATGAATATCAAGCCCAAGTTTTTAGCGCCAGGTACATAATTTTCTATTTAAGATGCTTTTGAGGTTATTTGAGAATAAAAATATGCTCAAGAAAGTATAATTACTATTATTTACTAATTTACAACGTAAAATTTCATATTTCAAGATCTGATTTTCGTAGAACGTTATTGTAATAAGTTGTATTGTATAAAATTTTATACGCTTAACAACGTTCATATATATATATATATATATATATATATTTTTTTCATTATGTATTCATTGTAATGTTTGATTTTCATATTTATTATTATACGCATGAATAATGACATTGTAATGTTACATATGTTTTTTGCAATAGTTATTAAATCTGTACAAATGGAATGATTACATATTACAATTTTCGAGAATTATTAAATTGATTGTACAAATTGTAAAATTGAAAAATTAAAATCAAACGTTTAGTTCTAAATGTGCAAATGCTAATGCAATGATTATAAAAAATGAATTAGTAATAATAGTATGTACAATTGAAATTAATGGGATCGTGAAAAAGCCCAATTGGCTTTATACATTTAGTTTAATATGTTTATTATTTTTTTAAAATGTCGTAGGTGACAATTCTTGGCAAGAAGATAAAGTTGATATTGACGCACATGTGTCTACACAATTTGTTTATAATGGCAATCATTCGTTGAGTATTGATTTACAGCGAAAACGATTGCCAATATATAAATTAAGAAATCATATTATTTATTCGCTAGAGAAATATCAAACACTAGTTCTAGTCGGAGAAACTGGATGTGGAAAAAGTACACAAATACCTCAGGTAAAGAATATTTATCGCAAGTAGAATCGTGTTTTCTATGTTTTCTATTTATATTAACGTCGTTGAATAAGTTAATATAAATAAAGATAAGGAAAGAAAATGATATACATTCATTTTTTTTTCATATATTTTTTGTTTAATAAAATCATCAAGTAAATCGTATTTCATTAATTTTGTAAAAAAAAATAGATTAAAAGGATAAATTATAACAATAAAAAGTCAGTGACGAATAATCTTGGAAAGTATTTTAAAACGCTCTTTAGGATTGTAATAAATCTATTAAAATTTCATATATTTGGCACTATTAATATATGCATACATACATAAATACATGCATATATAGAATATAATAAATGATTGCGCTAGAAATAAAGTCAAATATTTTTATGAGTAAAGGTGCGTAGCGTAACTATAGTTTAAATGAAATTACATCCGCTTAATGAGTCGTTGCTTTGTAGTCGCGGTAAACAAATTACAATTCTTACACTAGATTTCTAAAAGTTTTAATCAAATTTTTTAATAAAAAACAATTGCTATTGTTTTACCATATCTGCTATATAAATTAGTAGTCTAGAAAGAAATTATAGCGCACTTTATTAAATACATGATTGATCTTTTTCATTAAACTCATATTAATCACATAATGAAACTTATTTATCATAATATTTGTAATAGTTATCATAATCTTAAAAAATATTAAAATTTTTATATCATTTGAGAATAATGTACATAAAAAGTTTGAAGAATGAGATTCAAATTTTTGGTTATTAAGATTTGAAACGTTATTCATCAAATAATACACCAATAATACATCTTCCTTTATTTATTTTATGCGCACAATTGAGGGAAACAGTTGAAAAGAACAAAACAAAAAAAAAAAAAAGAAAAGAAAAAAAAAAGAAAAAAAAAAGAAATAATATTACATCCTATGTATGAAGGAGTTTTAATTACGTATCGGATTTTGAGAAGTAATGATCTTATGACCTAATACATAATATAATAAATAATAAGAATAAATTCTATTCAAGTTGATAGGGCGGGCAGCATTGTATATTTGATAGGAGCGTCCTTATTGTGGGAAAAATGCACCGAGCGAATGCGCAATGTCGGTACCGATTCAAAGGAGCACACTTGCTTACGTGTCCGTAATGCACGCGCAATAAGCCTGTGTATGCGCGTGCGTGCGTGCGTGCGTGCATGTGTGTGGCTGCGCGAAAGCGGGAATAGAGGGAGAAATCGTAAACTTTCAAAAGCCCGAGCCTAATCGTCTATACTTTAGTTGGCGATCGTCCGTCGCGCTAAATGCATCTTAAATGTATGATGTTTGCGCATATGTAACATAAATATCTTCGAGTTCACGCACAAGATATGTTAATGATGTTTTTGCAAATGACAATGCCGAGAGCGATAAGTGTCCGAATGAATTAAGAGAAAAATTTAAAGATGAAAGAGCAACCATGAAAACAGATATAATAAAAGTACTGACGCTGACTTTCTACTTAAAGTTGGAGTTAATTAAAGTGAATATCACGTGATTCGAGCCCTTATGATCTTTTTATTTCATGTAAGCTACGGAGAAAGGAACTTGGGAATGTGATATCAATGTGATCAGATCTACGCTTCGTTTTAAGCTGGTAGCACTCGACTGGAAAGAAATTAGTTTGTACGTTTATTTATGTTTATTGTGAAAATGTTCGATTAGAAGTTTCATATGGAAAATTGAAGAAAATTGATCACAAGAAGGAAGATTTATGCACGGTTATGTGTTTAAATGCGTGTGCAAATGAACGTGTATTTACGATGTGCATATGTATAAACATCCATATTCGTTTTTGTTTCGGTTCGTGTATGGTGCAGGAAATCTAAAAAAAAATTTTTCAAAATTATCATCTGCCCATTCAACATTACGTTCGTCTCTTTCGCGTTAAATGATTTTCTTGTTGCGTATCCTAATCGCGATGATAATAGAAGCAAAGGATAGTAGGATAGGATACACGATACATGTTCCACTGACATTGCGATATATTTTAATGTTTATGAACGAAGGAAGTAATTGATATTAATAAATGGTTGCTAATAATAAAGCAAATAAAGTATTATGAAAAATAAGCACAAGTGCAATTAAATCTTTTAATTGTCTTAATACATAAAAGAAAAGAAAAACAAACAAAAAAAAAAAAAGAAGAAAACTAGAGATCTGAAAAAATAAATAATATCCGACAACATTATTTAATTAAATATTTGTATTTAAATAAATGAAGTAATTGAGCGGCAATTGGTTAAGTAAAGTAAAATGTTGTTTCCACCACAATCAACCAGATTCTTATTCTTAATAATAGCGGCAATAAGCTGTTATTTTCTTTTTATGGATTATATACTCTACAACCGTATGCAGAATTATTCGATTAAGCCAGTGAAAAACGAGAAAAATTACATAAGCAAAGTTCCTTGTGACGTTGATCCATTTTGTGTTGTTACGATAAAGGCATTAATGTTAGACTATCCGAATTTGTATATTTTGAGTCCTTTAGCGTCGGTGATTGATCATATTTTGGGTATAAGCAGCACTTGGTCATGGATAACTCCAAATATGATAAGCGCATTTCACGTGCTGATAGCATTATTGGCTGGGCATTGTGTTGCTAGTAATTCCTTGTCAGATCGACGACTCGGTGTGATTTTGTTTGAGTTTCGCACTTGGTTGGATGATTTGGATGGACACGTAGCCAGGAGAAGGAAGCATATAATTGGAGAGCATTCGGATGTTGGCTCAGCCGGTTATTGGATCGATGGTCTATGCGACGCTTTGGGCTGCGTAGCTCTTATGACTGGAATTTTTTTTTTCCTCAAAAGAAATCCGCCACGCAGAGGCTATGAAAAGCTGCGAAGAATCTATCCTTGTATAGAGAGTCAAGATGCTAATACCGAAATTATTTATAAGAGGCTTCGCTTTCGGGCTTTGATAAGGAACATTCTGTTGCTAACTGGACATCTTATGATCACGTCAATCGGATGGAATAGGTATATCGCATTATATCAGGATCTGTTGGAGACTAATGACAATTCCTTGGCTATTACAATGAGCGAGCTTTATGCGAGACAAAGTGAAATTATGAGATCTGGATTCTTTTGGATAGTCACCGTTACCTGGAGACTAATCAACTTTCACACTGCGCTAGATTATTTACTGATGGCTATATTTTTCGATCGATTGTGGGATTACATGAAAATATTAAGATGGTTTGGCTACATTATACCTCTTATAGTCGTTTATTTAACAGAGTTTCATTTCCTTGAGTCTTACGCATATATATTAAGGGGCTCATCTGGATTTGCTAAATGGCCGTCAACGTCGATACAAAACGGCACCACATTATTTAACATATAAAAGTATCACGATGGCAAAAGAAAATTTTATTACTACTTGTTATGTATGATATGACAACCATCCTCCTGAACAAAATTCTTGATATTTTTTCTATTTTTGTACTGCATTGATTATAGATTGTTGATGATATTGTTATATCGTATATCGGAAGCGAAATTTTATTATCACATTTTGTAATATTTATTAGATGCTTAAAAAGAAAATTATTTTTTCACATTATAATTAGTAAATTTAAAAGGGCTGTGAAAATTAGGTTTTAACAACCAGATATTTTATTAATAATTTCATAAAAGTGATAAGATAATTAAAAACGTATAGATAAAATATTTTTTAAATTGTAACACTTTTGGATTTCAATGATATAAGCTTCATTATTATATTATATTATTAGAATCATTATATGTGTATTTAATAAAGAAATAATTTACCTTCAAGTTTAAATATAAAGTCTTCATTTCAAGTTAATCATTATCATTATTATTATTATTTTATAGAAACATCATCGAAAGTTAAAAATTTACAAAAGAACTATTGTTTAATTAGTACAAATACTTTAATAAAAAAAAAAAAAAAAAAAAAAAAAAAAAAAAAAAGTAGAAAAGAATAATATTTGAAGTCTAAAAAATGATGATAATTTAAATTTATTTAACTTCATTGATTAAACATCAAAATGAAATCGTAGTCAACTATTTTTATGGAAATATTAAATTATAAAAATATAGATAAATCACATAATACAAAAATATAAAAATGTTAATTTTCGCTTTATTATAAAAATTATAATGTATTTACTTATGCGCTTTTAGTAAAATATTAATAAAATAAATTATTTTACTACGTGTTTACTTATTTTAATAAAAAGATAAAATTCTGTAAAGTACGACTTAAATTTTTAAAAAAGTTTAATATATAGGATTTTTATACGTATAATATTATATCTATAGAAAAAAAAGTTTAATTGTCTGAATCGTGTCATTTTAAATTTAATTCATTCAATACATAGTTCATAAAATTGATGCAAGTATGGCTGAACAACAGCTATGTTAAAAAATAATACAAAAATATAAAAATTATAATTTTATATATAGTATGATACATAAATAAAAATCAATAGAGTATATTACTCATATGATAAGAAATAAACATTCAAGTTGAGAAAATTCTGCCTTCTACGTGTGATTTTATAATGTTAATTATCTATTCTTTCAAATAAGCTTTCATTTTGTAAATAAATTTAATTTAAACATATGCATACACACTTCATCAGAATGTAATGGGCCTGACGTAATCACTCTATTTCGGATAGTTAGAATATAAATAGAATATATGTATGATATTTGAGTGTGCGCGTGAGTGTGTGCACGTGTTTACGTATGTGTGTGCAAAATATATAATATACGCGCGTGTGTATATGTATGTATATATATATATATATATATATATCGTTATATACATAGTTAAATGAACAAACAAAATACATTTTATACTGTTATCAACATTGACAAAATAAAAAGAAATTGTTAATTAATTTCTCCGTGCTATATTTCTTCCTTAAAAAACAACAATAGCACAAATAATGTTCTACGTGCATGTAATATTATATTCAATCTTTAAATGCAGAAATAGAATATTGCGCCATTGTTAACAATGTCTTAATTAGTCTAAGAATATTTCATTTTATTTTCATTTATACAAATTATTTTGTAATTTTAAATGAATTTGTGTATTACATGTCCGATTAAAAATAAATATTTTTTTAGAATGATATTAAACATTTCAAAAAGTGTAGATATCAATAATTGCTAAAAATAAAATTTATATGAATAAATCATTTATTATTATTTGATTTTTTCAACTAACTGTTACATTACTATATACTAAATGTTACATATATATACAATAAATGCAATTCTAATCGACAGTTTTATGGAATATTGTTAATAACTTTTAGAAAATCATAGAAATTTATTTTATATCGATAAATAATTTTGAATTTCTTGTATGGAATACTTTATATTCATACTGACTTTAATTTTATATAAAATTTTCATACAACGAAAACACTAAAAATAACTACATAATATTATATTGAACATTTTCTATTTAATTATAATTTTGAAAAATTTTAATTATCGTACTATTTTATCCAATTGCATAATTACATTGACTGTATATTAATAATATTTATTAATAATTGTTTGCAATTTTAAAAGTAATAGTTATTAAAGTATATTGTAATGAAAAATTTGTTATATATTTTAGAAAAGATTAAATATTAAAAAATTATTAATAATTACAACAACAACAACAACAACAACAACAAGTTTGGTGATATAATTTCTCTGGTTTGTAAAGCGTATTTTAAAAGTGTAATATTACCTGCGCAGTAGAACACGATGCAGTGATAAAGAGTTGAAATAAATGTCGAAAATGAGAAAGATATCTTTATTTACATTATTTATAATTAAATTGAGAATATAATGTACAACCAATTAAATATATATAAGAATCTAAAATTACTTAATTTACCAAATAAACTTAAATGTTTCAACAATTTTAGTTTTTCTTTTATTACAGATTACAGACTCCTCTTAAACGTAAACATTTTGTGTGTGTGTGTGTGTGTGTGTGTGTGTGTGTGTGTGTGTATTTTTTTTCCAATGCATTAATAATAGTAATTTCAACATTGTAAATATAATTTTGATATTTATTTATCTAAGTAAATTTATATTAAACAACTACTTAATATTGGCAAAGAATTTTTAACGAATGACTTAATATTTACATGACTGTCAGACAAAAGTCTTTTCATAGATGTTTATTAGTTTAATACTATGATGAAATTTAATATAATGAATTTCAGAATAAATAAAAAATGTGAAAAGATAATTATCTGTGTAAGACGTACTTATTGATAAGGCTGCCGTATAGATTAGAAATACACGTAGAAATATAGCGTTTAATATAATAATTAAAATTGACATTCTTAGAATTCCGATTACCGTGGAAGTATTCGTTCTCACAAGATGAGGAAAATTTTGAGTCAACTCGTTTCCAATTCTTCAGCGATATTTTGCTGCAATTTAACGAATTCTCGTAAAACAGTTATAAATGAGAATCATCTATACAAATTCTTTAGATAAAATTTGCTAGATAAAAATTCTATAGTTCGAGCTTAAATCATACTATAATCAGTGATTTTAATTTTTGATAAATATGTTAGTCATTAATATTATTTGATTTCTCTAATTTCATTTATTTATGAAATCACTAATTTTTATTATTATTAGCTTTAATTATTAGAACACACAAGAAATTTGTAAACAATTATTTTGAACCTATACCAAAGCACATCTTTTATTATTCATTACGGTACTACTGACATTGCAAAGCGTATCATAGCGTATTTATTAATATATACATTTCAAACTAACGGAGATGTATGAAAAAAAAATTTAATTCTATTGACTACAACATATACTTCTACTAGGACTTTTTATATGTTAAAAAAGAAAAAGAAAAGACATTACAGAAGTGAAATAATATGTATAGCGTTTCAACAATTTACACGTAATTCAGGATTCTTGTTAAATATGTCTTTTTGGAAGCACTCGAATATCTTAAATATCTTCAGATAAAACTAACTAGAGTATCAATTCGATTAAAAAAAAAAAAAAAAAAAAAAAAATAATAATTAAAAAGTAAAAATTTTTACAAAATTTTGCCGTCCCTATCGATTGGTTTGTTAGCTATTAATAGCTTTACGACAAAATTATAATAATATTACCGATTGAAATTTTCAGTATATTTTGTTTAAATATTATAAAAACAACTTGAAAGCGAGAACATTTCTGAATAAATACAAAAAGGAGTTGGTAAAGAAGTCCCGTATCCAGTATTTTAGTAGTAATAAACGAATGTGCACTGATTGTTATGACTAGTTTAAAAAAAAAAAAAAAAAAAAAAAAAAAAAGAAAGAAAGAAATGTTATAAATATGAGAAGTTAAATGATAGTTTAAATAATGATTTCAATGCTGAAACATTGATTATTAATATTAATAATAACAAGGTCAATTATAACTAGAATTGTAATTAATATTGTCAATAGCAGCAATAGTTATAAAATATAATTACAAATAATTGTAATAGTAGAGTCTAAATATATATTGATTATTTGTAATCTGTCATACGAAAATATAAAATTGACTTCAGCCTAAGGCAGTGAAGAAAGTTGTTATGCCGTTTACGCTTGCAATGTGTAAATATGTAATGAAATGGCGGTTATTGTACTCAATGATGATAAAAAGCTTAAAAATGTCAGGAAAGGTAGAAAGACAGAAACGAATACTCGGAACATATTCTTATAGTTTATGAGTGGGAAAATATATGTAAAGAAGCATGAAACTTAACGATACGAGGTAGAATGATTGTAGAACTGTTAGTAAAACGAACAGTGTGTGTGATATATGATGAAAAATGGTAAAGTATAATTATCGAATTATCATTATAATTATGAAATTTCATTGTGAGTCTTATATTCATTGCCTTATATACATATATACATAACTTCAACATTTCTCGATAAATAGGTTAAAATAGTAAAAAAAAAAAAATGGCTAACTCAAAGAGATCGTACATAAAAGCAATGAAATACATTATTTATGTTTAGAAGATTGACAGGTTAATGTAGTTTAGAGATACGAGATATGTTCTACCTCTTAATATCGTTAAAAAATTCCAAATGTGAAGTGAAGCATATGTTCTCCACATAATTTCTTTCAAATTGCTCATAAATCTTTAAGTCGGAAATACAATTCTAGGATATTAGCGATAAAATAAATATAACGAAAAAACTATGCAGTTTAAATAAATGATTAATTCTTAAATGTCTTAATAATTTTATATATAAAAATGTTTAAAATTTTATACCGTACTATATAGACATATATATATATATATATATATATATATACATATATTTGTTGTTGTTGATATTAATATTTTTGCCAAGAATGAAGGCGGAATAAATGAGACAAAATGCATCAATATTCAGATAAA